CCTAACTAGTGCACAAAGCGAAAACTGAATCAAACTATTCTGACCAACACAAATTTGCCAACTTCGCCGCTCCGCTCTGCCTATTGAATCATGACCTTTTCGTTCGATTTATAATTTGTAACCAATGAATCTTTCCTGGCGGATGTTGAACAACTGCTATACCCAGCAAAACCATGCGTTGGGAGTGCACTTTCAAGCTGGCTCTAATATGTGAGAAGCATATGAGTCTGAACAAACCAGAATTAACTTTAGGATGAAACTCCAACAAGAAGAAGTAATTCTGAGATTCTCCGAAACCAATAAAAACAGTACGTTACTTGCAATTTCACGCTCCATTAATCATTGATGGAAGTGCTTCACAATAAATCAGCTCCCAGAATATCAGCCGAGAGGTAAGAGCATTGTGACGAAGTGCATGTCAATAACTGAGGAAATCATTCGCATATGCTTGCACTTCATCAACGCGGGATGAGCGACCTTGTCACCAGCTGGTAACGAGCCGCCTTCTTTTCGAGGATAGGATTTATTACAACGAGTGACATACTGATGAATGGGACCTGGCAGAAGAAATGCTTCCATGGCTCACGCGCTTTCTCGCGACAACCACATAAATAACGAACAAAACCTGATAAAAAGCTACGGTGCAACCGTGAAGTTAACGCGAACGACAAAAGGACCCGTGACGACCCGCGCCACATGCCACCCGCGAGCAGCGAAATCACGGCCACGCCTCTTCAAAACACACCCACTGCGCGATACTCAGTCAACGAGCATGTCGGTCCCACCTAGAAATTGCAGTCTCGTTGGCAACTTGCCCTTGGTTTGATTTTCGAACTTTTTTGTGTCGCTTTCGCAATTGTCGAAGAGTAAGTGGATGAGTGATGGCTAAATTTTGGGTGCTAACTTAGTTGGGGGGGGGGCACGCGGCGGCGCGGCAGTCTGCTCACCTGGGCTCTCTCGAGCGAGACAGTGTAAACTCGAACATTCCAGCTTTTCACGCATGTCAAGTGACTGCCCCCACCCCCAACCCCCTAGGCTGGCTACACTCCCCCTGGCCCACGGATTTCCGAACATGCCAGGCGAGCAGACTGCCGCGCCGCCGCGTGCCCCCCCCCCAACTAAGTTAGCACCCAATTTGGGCCTAATTTTTTCGTATAATGTATTTTTGAGATTATGGGAGTCAACTAGTGCACTAGAATTTTTGTGCATATTGGGCATTTTTAACACTTGAATTCGATTTTACCCTTAAATTCACATATTTCGGAGTTGTCAGTCGAGAGTACCTGTGAGTGGAGGGCTCAGTGGAAGTGGAAGGCGCGGAGGGACGAGGTTTTTGGCGCAACTACACTAAGCACATTCGCGCGCGCCATGTCGCTTGGGGGGGGGGGGGGGAGGTGGAGAGAGGGAACGTTCAATAATGAGCACTTATTAATGATAATACTTGGCGTCCGAGCTGTTAGCGCTGTAGAGGAGGAGGAAAAGGAATTATGCGCGAGATTAGGAGCATTTTTTTGTTCACACTGGCTTTTCTCCCCTCTCCTGGGTTCAGTCTCAGTCGCATACCATAGCGGTTTTCAAAATGCCCTGTTTTGGATTCCCCCCCGACCATGAGCGTCCATCATCATGAACATTTGGAAAAGTAACGCTGTAATTAGGAATTCCTTATCGAATCAAGGGATAAGGATTTCTTAGACCACCTCCTCCTCCATAAATCCTCACTCCTGGCTCACAGGTGCTTCATCGCAACATCCAGCACCAAGACCCCTAAAGCCTGCAAGAAAATGAAACAAAAAAACGTAAGACGCGTAAAACAGAGTCCATAGTATTTCTCAGCTTCAAATGACCCTTTGCGTGAAGTTAGGATTAGTGCAGTCCGTACGAATTGTTGCACCAAACTACGCAGTAAGCGCCAAATGCTGAAAAGGTCATGGAAGACCCTGTGGTGCTCACGGAAAACCCATAAAAATTTTGAGAACATGGTGGTACTTCGAGAGTGTTATTAGGCAAAAAGGAGTAGAGTTAATTTTGAAGTCTATTCAGCAAATGGTTAGGCCGCGTTCATAGTTCGCGACTCGGGAGATTAGGATAGTAGGCGACAGGATATTAGGATAGTAGTAGAGTAGGAGATTGCGCTGACAAGATTGGATACGTATCGATTGAAATCGCTGGAGAGTAGTAGATTGGGCGACTTCAAGCGAATAGATCAATACATATCTAATCTTGTCAGCGCACTATCCTAATCTACTACTATCCTAATCTCCTACTCTACTACTATCCTAATCTACTACTATCCTAATCTCGCCGTCAATACATATGTTTTTCATTGTCGCGTACTATCCTAATCTCCGGAGTCGCGAACTATGAACGCGGCCCAGGAGGTGTGCTTCTGGTCATAAAAATCAGCAAAGTAGACTAAACACAATTTATGGGATTTGGATATGATCGAAGCTGAAATTGACAGAAACTTTTGCATTTGAAATTCGCTGTTACCTTCGGCTTCTTGTTAAACTTAGTGTTCAGATGGAAAACCTGGAATTTGAAGCAGCTTTAGGAGGCAATCATAAAGGATCTCAACTAGTTAATCAATTGAATTCCAAACTATTTGAAAAATTCACTCTTTCAAAGAGCATACATGAAGTGCTGTAGTGGGGGATGAGCATGAATAGTGCAGATGCAGGGACGTTTATTGGTTTCCCATCTCACGGCTGTCGACTCAAAAAGTGCTCTTTAAATCATTGAAAGTCTGTCCAATTTCCGGATATTGATTGCTGTCAACTGTCTCTCTAAAAAGCAAAGAGATCCCGTCGAGCTGGCTGCGAACTCATCTCAAAGTGCAGAACAAAGAGTTTGGCCATGCTGATTATTCTAAAAATCATGACCTTTTCTATAATGTACTTTTAGCTTTCTATAATAGTTACTTTTCGCTTACGAAGCCGCGTAGTCACTCAGGTCTTTACCAAGAACTGTTCAGAAATTGAGCGCTTTTTCAAAACTTTTGCATATATAATTAGCAGCACAGGACATAAAACTGATAATCATTTTTTTTTTCTGAGTCCCGGATATGCAAAAAAAAAAACTTGTCGAGGGCCACAAAGGCTTGTGTTTCGATCCAGTGAAAAAAATATTTCATTCACCGTTTTCACTATTTCTGGGCTCTATTATTAATGTCTGAACTTATTCATTGACAGAAAAGCGCCAAAATGTGACTATTCAACGCAACAATCGCCGTAGGCCGAATTCAGACCTTGCGGATTGAGCGATTTGCACGCCAATTCAGGACTCGAACGGGAATCGTCGCAGCGACGTAGATTACATCTGACCGATAATAGCCGACGACAGTCACGAGCGCCGCTCGGTAAACTCCCTCCTCGCTCTCATCGCTCAAGCGATCCCGTCGCCTCCTCGGTGCATAATCGCGTCCACGCAAATCTGACATCGGCCCACGACCATTGAAAATGGGGAAGTTTCACTTCTCGAGGGAAATTTCTGCCCTCTTTCTGGCAATCCCAGGGCCTCTCAGAAAAAATGATATCAGTTTAATGTTCCACGCACGTGCCCCTATAATATGCAACAAACCGCTCTGAAAAAAGCCGTTCATGACCGAAAGACGTCCATAGGTTTATGATTTTTGAGCACCACATCCCATCAGGTCATCTCGGGAGGTGGTAAAAAAAAATCCTTCCAATGTCGGCAAGATAAACGTGAAAACTGCTGCAAACTCCTGCATTCGACTAAACTAAAAAATAATGTTATTTTAAAAACCATGAACTTGCACGCTGAAGTGGTTATCTATGCAATCGTGTGCCTGCTTATCACTCCGGGGAAGCTTGTCCGATACAACCGCCTGATCGCACGTCCGCTACGCCGTCTCAAAGTTCGACCAAGCCTATTGCGTCCCGCAAATGCCACAACATCTGAATGAAATAGAATGCGTGTACATTTCTGCACACAACCAGATTCTTTCCCCTGTCACCTTTTGACCATGAGGTACTACTATGGATTGCACTACTTTTCTAGCGATTATAATAGCTCTAAGGTTCTCGCTGGTGAACACTTAAAGTGTCACCGCGAACCATCCCAGGTTTCACTGATTTTCGCGATTTGGACGATTCATGCGATATCGCGGAACCTGCGACGGATAGCAGAAATTGCAAGTGCCTCATTTGAGCATTTGAAACAACTGAATAGTAAACCAAGTGAATCATAGCAGCTCGTCAGTCGCCAATGTCACTGTCAATCAAAATGCGGCAAGGACCATTGAAAGCAACCTTTGCCAGTATTTGCATCGGGGCACTTGCTCCGTGAAGCCCGGTCGCAGTAGAGTCGCGTGAAATCGCGCAAATTGCGGAAATCAGCGAAACCTGCGACGGATTGCGGACTCTGACACCAGCCTTAGATATACGGCACTTTTCGGCGCGATCCGCTAGCGTCTGCGGTCTCGTCGCGGCCAGTGAATCACTCAGTTGGCCGGTACCGCAACGTACCGCGGACCATCGAATGCGCGATTCCCAAAGCTGATCATCGGCCTTGGCCCATTACAATCGGCGAGAGGGGCGTGCAACCATGTAACCCGTAAGGGAATGACTAACTCACCAAGCGCTTCTCTATACTACCGCTATTTGCCAGCGACGGCCATAAAACAAGTAAGACGATTCAAACGTTCGGGTAACATACTTGAGCCGGGGGTGGTGGCGGCATATGGCCCCGGAATCGCGAGTGGGGAGAGGTGCCCAATGCAAACATGCGGATCAAGCGCGCTCCGTCCCGCTCGCGAACGCGATGGCGATTGCAATCCCAAGGTCTGACACCTATCTGGACCTGTATTGCAAATGGGCACCTGGCTTGTTTGTTGGCCCAAAGGTATCGCATTGCAAACACGTAATCAATTTCCGTGAGCTGTGGACGCGGAGAGGCATTGAAGCTAATACTGTTTGGTTTTTTTTCAGAAATGATAGGATAACGAAGAAAAAACCTCCTCTCCGCTGGCTGCAATTCTCGAAATGAAACATGCTCAGCACCTGCCTGAAGATGGGGATGGACCTCCGGCGAAAAACGCAAAGATAGAAAACTCAGAAGTTGGAAGGTTAGCGGGAACATCATCATTTTTATGTTACATTGTTGATGTTTTTACTTTTAGTTTGAACAAAAAAGTTACTCAAAACAAAATGGAACTTACAAGTCTGGGTATTTCCAGGATAATTCCGATTCTTAGTGATGAAGTTCGCGGCGAAACCGTACCATTGGCAGAGTTCTACACCATTCAGTTCTTGGACAAGCAGAAAATCAGTCCATTTCTGAAAAAGGTCCCATTAGTATGTGAAGGATTCGATCATCTGAAACGAGTGGATAAAACTGGTCGTGTACTTTTGCAACCCGCCACAAATCCGCTCTCAGAGAAACATCTCATGGTTTTGCAACAACTCGAAATTGGAGAATCTCAGGTACAGGTACGGACATATTTTGTAGTGATGTACTGGTGGTACTGCTTAAATAAGAACACGGGATTTTATCGTATCAAAAGCGAATTTTTTATTAAGGTCATGTTAGTACCAGCATCAAGGCCTCTTACTGCACGACAGTTTGACTGGGCAAAAGAGTATTGGCCCACATCTTTCCATCCGGATAAGGTCAGTGTTTGCCAAAGAGCACTGCTGTAAGACTTCTCTACCATGGTGTTATCGCTAGATTTAAACACGAAGAAGTGAAGCGGAGTTTATTTCAACTGGTACGGTTCCATAGAAGTGTGTGATGGAAATTTTTGCGACTATATATATGAAGGAAATTCACTACATAAAGGACCCTTTTGAGCGGGAGAGATTGGGAATCTTCAAGCGTACTGGCAGGGCTTGAGGCTGTCACTTTTTTCCTTACTTCCGGGTAACGCTACTCCGAATCGCGTGTAAACATTCACCGCGGCTTTCCACCAAAGCAATTCCACTTGTTGCTAAAATAGAAGAAAATTTCTTCGATCAGGATAAGGCCATTCGGTTGCAAGATGGATAATCCTATCTATTTAAGGAGCTCGAAAGTTTGCTCGATGGCACGTTTTTCTCCGATGAAGAAAAAACATCAGTGTACCGCTGGAGTGAGCATGCACTCGAAGTGGGATGTATTGTCGTACAGGTATCCGTATTTTTCAGAAAATTTCCTTTTGATAAGTCGCTTCAGATGGAATAAGAAGTGAGGGTTGCAATTCAAAAGTACACTCTTTATCCGAAAGTTGGGGTAGGCGTGTCACCGGAAGTGACGTGCACTTGAAGTGCGTGGATAAGTTGTCGCCAGCATATGCTTTGCTGATATCAGCTATGTATGTTAGAAGCAACTTATCCACATAGCTTCTATCAAGTGCACGTCGCTTCCTGTGACATGCCTACCCCAACTCGTGGATATCGAGTACTAGGGCGCGTGAAGCGATTTCAATTTCTACATGTGATCTGGAGTTCGCCAATTCCGCATTTTGCATAGTCCTACGACATATAAATCCAGCATATACAATATTCTCGCTTTAGTGGCTCGCTCTACTTACTGCCGATCCGATCCAATGATTAACAGAATGGTGTTTGTAGCGTAAGCAGGGTCCGTACTCGGAACGCCTTCTCGGACACGGCTGTTCTCATGGGATAGGTGCAGCATCCTAGGCAAGCGTGACACGCCGCGTATAAGACTTACCTTCTATACGGATCTGTATTTCCTATTGAGGATGAGCCCTCGTGCAATGTGTGCTATGCGTATTATTTTAGTTGATTACTTCTGAGCCTAGCAATTTCGGAACAGTTGGCGATTTCTGCTTACGCCCTTAGTGCCATTGTTGTCTCATACATTTCCTTTCTCTAGATCAGTTCAAATTTTTTTCAAAGTCAATTAGTGTCGTTGCAGAATAAGTTGGTGTGTCATGGAATGCATCAGACTTTTAGCCAGGAGGTTTAGGGAGGCCAAATCCGCAACGAATAACACTCTGGTAATCGAAAAAGATCAATGACAATAATGAACGGTAATGCTTTACGCGTCACACCTAAACGCTATTTCGCAAGGAAGGGCATAAGAAGTCAAGTGCTGTTCTCAGTGTGTTGGCTCATTCTCTGCCACTGATCGGGCACTGAGCTAGTGGTTGAGTCAAGACGGCAAACACGATACAAGCAATGAGGACGGACCTCATCCTGGACCTCCAGTCACTTTCGAGGGGGACTCTTACCATGCTTGAAGCGCATCCAGCACGCTGTTATGTACGCAAGGTTCGTGGCAGACATCTGGACACAGCCAGTGCACCATTGCTCGCCATTTGAGTGGAATGGGCTGCAGCGAAGTGAAGTCTCGATTGAAAGCGATGGACCTACTTTGACCGAGAACCACGGCTGACAGAAGTCCACTGTAGGGTGCCAGAGACGGATTCCCTATTCTCATTCGGGTGTGATGAGAGTCGAAACTACGACAACAATCAGAACCCACCAGCTTGCTCATCCAAGATCCAAACTCATGTTTGGAGGGTTTTGCTCTTGGTATGGATTGACTGGGTATCTTGTTTTGATAACCGCTTTGCTATATGCAGGAAATATGGAGCAATTCTCGAAGTTGGCTGCACAGAGCGAGAAAACCATCGAAATCTCTTATCTCTAAATGAACGTCCGACCTCATACTGCATGCTCTTGTCACGTTCTGAGGGAAATCGGCTGGACCACGATGCCATGTACCTCATGCAGCCCTGACATTAATCCATCGGACTTTTCTCTTCACAACACCTTGGAGCAGCAGCCGCGAGAGAAAAAAGAAGTCAAGGAAAATAATCACCCCCAAAACGACCTCGCCGATTTCTTTAACTCCCGGCTTCACTCATTCTGGGGCAGAGCACCTCTTTGATTGTGGTAGTGGTTATACTTTTGACAACTGTTTCTGGGAATGATAGAACTTAAAAAGGCGAAAGTGCCGAAACTGGGACAGAAATTATGGGACAACCCGGTATATGAGGTATATAGTTTGAGTGAGCGGTACTTTTTAAATAATTCCTTGGGCACGAGGTCACGACACGATTGGCAGTATAGACGCATCCTACGATTAGATGAGCGAATGTTGCGAATATACTGAAAAGAATTCGGGTTAGGGTCAACTGCGGAAATCGAGGAAATTTTAGAACTTTTGCGAACCCATCCCTCTGGAGTCTGCGTACCTCTCCACTGCAGAGAGAGTCACCCACAATTACGACACTCCCCTTTTCCCATCACTACCACGGCTGTTTCTACAGTATTTGACTCCTAGACCAGTCGACAGACTTACTCCACCCCCTTCCAAAACTGCCATGGTGGAAGGCTATGGGCCGTATGCTATGCCTCCCCGAAGGGGTTAGGGGACGAAAATTCCTTTAAATTTTCTCTGTCTTCCCAACTGGGATTGCCCTGATAAAGGGCCTACATTTAATGTATGTATGTAGGTTAAAGTAAACATGCACTGAAAATGAAGAAACTACATCGTTCAAAACAAATAAATTTAAAGGAAACTTTGCGTCACCTAGCTTCGGGGAAGCATAGCATACGGCCCCTTCTATCAGTCGACAAAAAACCAATCGTTACCCGGATTTATTTATAATAATTCA